GGCGGGGTGGGGCGGGGTGGGGCGGGGTGGGGCGAGGCGAGGCGCAAGGCACAACCGGTTGGCGGGGCGTGGCGAGAATTGAGGCTGGATGCGAATCGTGGAGCGATGCGTGGTGGCGAAATGACAGACTCGGTGGAGTTAAAAACTGTCCTGGCGCACGTGCGGCGGCTCCGCTGCACGAGATCCATGGTAGCGATGAGCCCCACCCCAGCGCTGGTGGCTGCGGCCGCGGACTGCAGCGAGTAACTCGCGAGAGTTCGCACGGGTCTAAAAGGGCTACGTGTAAGGAGCCGAGTGGGGGACACCTGGACACGGCGCCTGCGGGTCACAGGGTAGGCCACCCCGCGGTACACGAATGCGCTCAAGGCAAGATGTTGCCTAACGGTCAGGCGCTTGCATCTGCTGAAGTTTTTTTTCGTGACTTTGTCATGGCGAATGACGGACGTACTTTCTGGATAATCGCCCTCACCCAAAACGGGCAAATGCCAATGCAAATCTTTTCTTCACATCCCTCAGCTCAAATAAACTATCGCAAAATAAAGAATATTCAGTATACGTACGCTACCCCCTTCGTTAAAAAACGACGTAATTTGAGAGCGGCCTCTAGCTCGGCTGCTTATTGTTACCTGTCATGCTGTGTCGCACTTGCTTTTGTTTTCGACGATTCCCTGCCGCGGTGGGTCGGCGGGGAGTTCTGTTCAGTCGACTTCGGCCACCGCGTTACATAACACCACCACGTTCAACCTGTAAATCGGGACCCCACATCTGCCCCGCCGCGGAGCCTCGCACGAGGCAACATCTGGAAACGCATGTGTCGCACAGAATCATAGATTAAAACTGCGGTACCAATGATATTGCGGTTTTATGTGTGATGCCGTTTGTGTGCTGCAGTTATCATATCATAGTCAAGAACTGTAGTGCACGCCATTGGTACTGCAGTTAGAACTGTGATACTGAACGAGACTTGAGTTTCCAGAGCATGAACTTGACTCATACCACAGTGTTTATTCACAAAGGACATGTACAAACTCGAAGATGTCGTAGTTTCCTGGATCGAATCCTGACTCTTCGTTTGACCCTTTGCGTCAATGTGGCCCCGGGCGCATTTTCCCAACGCGACGAGTGACTCGCAATGCGTCCCGCGCACAGCGGCGATATGCTTTGTGCCAGCCTAGGCGAGGTGCGGCAGGGCGCCGCAGGGCCTCATATGCGCCTGCGGGTGGTCGGTGCGGCGCGCTGGCCTGCCGGCCCGCCCGTGGCCTAGAAGCCGACCCGGGTGCTGGATGCATTGAGGTGTAGTTCAATGTCTCCCGTGCCTTCATAACCGTATTTAGCAGAGCCCGTCGAAACGGGAGTGCAAATAGAGACAGCCCCAAGGTAGGCGGCGGGCGGGCGGCATACGCAGACGCACGCACTCGTGCCGGCACGGCACCCTGCGCCGCCCGTGGGCGCCGTGGGCGTCGAGCGTGAGAGGTCGTTGGCTCTGCGCGCGCCAAAACCCTGCAGTACTCGCGGGGCTGCTGCGCTGCTGCCGCGTCCCCGCGGTCAAGGCCGAGCCGTCGTGCGAGGAGGAGGCGGCGGCCGGGGTGCCGGGGCGGCGGGAGGAGGGCGGGGGAGGGCAGGAGGGCAGGAGGAGGCCCGCACCGTTGCACTGTGTGGTGTGGTTGACCGCGGCGGCGGTGGGCAGGATGCCGACACGATAACTTATTACGTTACGTACATTAACACCCTGTTTGTGTGCAACGTCCTCTCCCCGGCGCACTTTAGTCCACCACCATGCATCCATGCATCCTGCATCACACACGGCAACACACGAACGCCGATCACGACCCGACTTTACTTTACTGCAGTCTGCAGAGCCCCGCAGCAGGAGTACGCGGGGGGAGGTTGCTCAACGAACGCCTTACATTACATTACCTTGTAGGGCCGAGCGTCTGGTCTAGTCAATGACCCAACATCCACGGTCCAGCCCGAGCCCGGCCGGCGCCAGACGGGGTGATTGTGCAGCGGTGGGGAGTGGGG